TATGGGGTCAATAGGACTCCTCTGCAATGTAAAGCATTGGATCAAAAAAGAGCATTGATCTAGTGCTTTAAAAAAAATGTCCGGAACCGGAAGTGACATCGCTTTGGTCCTCCAAGGGCATAGAGATGAGTGGAGGCCATCTTTCCTTCACTAATCTCTATGCCCAGCGCTGGGATTGTTTTCTCAGGTAAGGCTGAGAACTACCAAGCAGCAGTCAGTGGCGGCAGTGGCGGGTGGACAGCGGCAAGTGGTGGCGACAAGGGGCGGGGTTTCTTCGGCACCTGTATCGATGCTTGTTTTCATATCGGCCGACGGCCAAAATGGGGTGTTTTCGGCCGAAACATTTCAGCCAATGAAATTTCGGTGCATCCCTAGTGGTAAATTATTTTACCTCCATGCATCTGATCTGCGGCTTTCAAGTACTGTTGCTGAAGTAGTTAGACATGTGCATTTTGTCTCAATTTGTTTTTCAGATAAAAATTTCATTTTTGGAGATTCGGATGTATATGAATCGCTGTATGGACATCGTAACGAATGTCAATGAATCTCAAAAAAATTTAAAACAAAATTAACAAATACATTTGTTTCAGATAACGTCACATGATGCCATAGTAGTTTCGGGGCCCATAGGGGAAATGAATTTGAAAATTAATTTTCAAATTTGTTTAATGATTCGAATAATAAATGGATCAGAATTTTGTTCCATTCATTAATTTGGATATGACGTCTGTCGATATTGTCCAATCACCTTATGCAATTTCTTTTAGTGAGTTGGTCTAGCACCTGAAAATATTAAATCCTCTGATTTAATAATATATGGGGCAGCACAGTGGTTAAGTGGTTAGCACTTTCACCTAGCAGCACTAGGGTTGTTGGTTTGAATCCCAACCACAGCACCTGCCTGGAGTTTTCATGTTCTCCCCGTGCTTGCATAGGTTTCCTCCAGGTACTCCAGTTTCCTCCCACACTCCAAAGACATGCTGGTAGGTTAATTGGCTCCTCTCTAAATTGCCCTTACTATATTTATGTACAGTGCCTTCAAAAAGTATACAATTCCTTGACAAAGTATTCATACCTCTTAAAATTTTCCACATTTTGCCATGTTACAACCAAAAACGTAAATGTATTTTCTTAGAATTTTATGTGATAGAATGTATGAATGTGACTTAGGGACCTTAGATTGTAGGTTCCTTGAGGGTTAGGGACTGATGTGAAAGTACAATATATTTAAAGCACTGCATAAATTGATGGCGCTATATAAGTAACTGTAATACATAAATAAAATAAAAATATCGAATATAAAGCAATCTTTCGGAAAACATTTTTCGAATCCACCTGGACCAACAAATATACAAAATGAATGCCGAAGATACAAAATGAATTTCGAAAACAAAAAGGGTCAACATAACAAAAATGACAAAACAAAATTCTTCAATGAACTAATACATCCGAAACAAAATGAGTAGTTTCAGCAATTACATCCTCCCATGTGAGAAGCACTTTAGAATTGGTGCTTTACGCTGCAGGTGTGGGCACTGAGATGAGTACAATTATTATAAAGCTTTGTGAAGTTCATCTTTAAGGCTGGCTCTACAGAGCTCTACTCAAGAACAACAGGAATGGAGACATCTGGTTACCGCTACATGCCAGTACTCACCACCATACTGATGGGCAGAAGAAGCATATGGGCCTTTAAAGAGTTTGGGGGGCCTGTTTATAGAGGAGAACAGATGCTGCTTTTCGGTGGACACTATAGTATGTAGACTGTAATGCCATATGGAGCTGTCAACTGCTGAGTAAACTATGTGACTGATGGACAGCCCAATCCCATGATGTTGATGGATCATGAGACCAAACCCTAATATTCCTGATTTTTTTTTTCTTAATTCATTGAAATTAATAGTTTTTCTTGTTCATAGTCTTTGCAGCAAGCAAAGCACTAAAAATTGGTCCCCTAAGTGTACTTTCAGTATGTATCCTTTATTCTTGTTTGTGTCTGCACCCCGGTTCAGTAAAAGTCATTTGCAAGGGGTACCTATTATGTAGATAAATGGGATCTTCAGACAAGGGACCTCCATCTTGGAAGCAGCAAGTTGATGCTATAAAGCTACACGCTAGGACTTCAGTTCGGTGGACACGCAGTTGGCTAAAACATAGATATCAGAGTGTGGTTGTAAATTGGGGTTAACTCAGAACAGAGACCAGTCACTAACGGTGTATCACAAGGCTCTGTAATATGTCGCGTTCTATTTAATCTGCTTGTAAGTGTCATAAATTAAGGTTTGGGGAGGTGGGGGTGAAGTTAAGGTATGCCTTTTTGCCAATGACACAAAGAAAAGTAATCATGGAGGTGTTTGTAACATGGTATATGATTTAGCATTTCTGGAAAACTGGCCAAAGAACTGGAAACAGTAGCTCAATTTTTGCAATGCACTTACGGAAAAATAATTCTCTCAGCCCTGAGCTACAGGAGAAAAAATGTGAGGGTGCTCATTTCTGATGAATATAAAATAAAATAGAATTCTTGGGTGAATCACTGGAGGTATCACCAGGTGGATGGAGGTCTTGTTTCTACAAAAGGTGTTCAAGTGATACCAGGACTTGGTGTGGCAATACTACACGCCATAGTAAGTGGCAAGTGTGCTCTATTACTGATAGGCGGCACACATGTCACCAGCCAGTCCAGGGATCCTTAACCAAGATGGCAGACAACAACGTTAGTGAGTGCATGGTACAGCATGTGATGATGAAGTTTCTTGTGAGCGAAGGCGTAAAACCCATGGATATCTACAGAAGACTTCAAACATGATACGGCAATGAGATGCTCAACCGCAGTAAGACATTTGAATGGTGTAAACATTTCAAAGATGGCCGTATGTCCGTCAGTGACGATCTCGGCCGTGGTGGTTCCCAGCCCACAGCAGTCATTCCTGTGAACATACAGCACGTGGAATGCCTGATCCTGGATAATGGATGCATAACCTGTTGTGAAATTGTACAAGAGACCAATCTTTCTGCAGGAAAGTTGAACACAATGATGACGAAGTGAAGCCGGCTGTCCTAGGGTGGTTCAGGCGTATTGACAAATCCTTCTATGCCGAAGCTCTCCAGGCATTCTTTAAACATGGAGATAAGTGTATAAATGTAGCAGGGGAGCATGTCAAAAAATGCAGTTTCCACTCCTAGAAATGTGTTCTTTATATAAACTTAAAAGTCCCAGTTTGACTTGAACACCCCTCATATATTATATAGATTAATAGTTAGGTCTAAATATCAACAATACTATGTCCAATTCGAGTGACCTCACTTACACAATGATAATGATAAGACAGATTGACCACCACGACAATCTCAAGGCACAGGGGCAATCTGATTTGCTCTGTACCTTTTGCATGCCTAATGACACCAGAATAACAGGCATTGTGCACACACCTGGCAATGTTCCTAAACGTCCACTCAGGGTTGCAGAGCTCCTGACCGACCATTTATCTTCAATGGCCAGTGGTTAAACATGCTTGGGATAAACATAGGTCTACTTGGACAAAAAAAGTCTAAAAAAAAAGGGTAGACTCTATGGACTACTTATCTGTCGTCACTCTTCTATGTTTCTCTTTGTTGCCAGTCACCAGTAAAGGGAGATGGCAGGAAGACACATTTTGTATGGGGATAAATGAGAAGACAATCTATTTTACTGTAGTTTTACTAGAGGCTGCCAGACTCTAGTCTAAAAAAAAAAAAATGTTGAAGACTGCTGGTATTTACATTTTCTAAACGTAGAACAATTTGTTGTCTGTGCCTAGCCTGGTTTAAAGTAATTCAAAAGGCTCACTTTTTTTTTTAAAATAACAAACATGGTATATGTACCTGCTCTGTGTAATGGTTTAGCACAGGACAGCCCTGATTCTCCTCTTCTTGGATCCATTGCCAGTGCACCTGGCTCCTCCCCCCTGCAAACTGCTTGCTCTGGGGACATTCATTACTCCTGAGCACTGTGTGTCCATAAGACACACAGAGTGTGGCTCTGCCCCGCCCTCCGCTCTCTCCATTGCCAGTGCACCTGGCTCCTCCCCCCTGCCAAGTGCCCCCATAGCAAACTGCTTGCTCTGGTGACACTCGTGTATGCTTACTCCTAAGCCGGCTGTGTGTGCCATCCGCTTCCTCCTCATTGGCGGTGATTGACAGCAAAAGGAGCCTATGGCTCCAGCTGCTGTGTTTGAGCCAATGAGCAGAGAGAGAACCAAGGGAGCCTGAGCTCTTGTGCACATCACTGCATCGGGCTCAGGTAAATATTTAGGGGGAGCTACTTGCAGAAGGTTTTTTTTTACTAATGCATAGAATTCATTAAGGTAAGAAAACTCCTGCCTTTAGAACCACTTTAAGATGATTGGGTAAGTCAGGGGAGCCACGCTGTGTCTGAGCCCACTTCAGTTTTTAGAGTTTTTTATATATGCTGAGGGAGGACCAGGAACTCCTATTTTTTAAACTGTATACTTCTTTCATCTGTAGGGCTGTAGGAGTCATGGTAGACCACATGAACAGTAAGGGGACTATTTGAAACTAAAAGCATAAACTGCTATCCACTCTTCCCTGGAAATGGAAATGTTATGCCACTGTGGCTCCCATTTTACTTTCCATTCATAAAATGCAAGCCATGACGTGGAACTTGTGGAGTTCCACTTAGAATTCTGTGACTGGAAGGAAAGACCGGTTACATAATTTTGAAAGGTCGTCTCCTGGCTTCTTTTATTCCGCTCATTTGAATAGCACTGCGCTCACTTTTGAAGTCCCAAAGAAAGTTGGAATACATTCACACCGCTGTACTAACCAACGTTTTGTTTTTGTTCTGATGATATGGCCATTCCACTGCTTTATAACTGGGGCCTAACGTATCTATTTTTATTCACTAAAAATAGTTGTTAAATGACATGTTTAATGTGTATCGTGCTTTGTAGAAATATTTTAAGTAATGGATATATTGACAACACCTTGTTACTCTTCAGGATCCTCGGCACTTACAGTATTTTGCTGATGTGAATGAATCCAATGCCTACTGCCTGACACAAGGCAAGAAGCTCTACAGCGCGCCTACTGAGTTTGGGTTCTGCTTAAAGGTATGTTCATTGTAAAACATCCACAAAGCTTTTCTCTTTTTAGAGTGTATTTGCTCTTCTTAGACATCACTCTTTATCTTCTGCTTGTTTATGAATGCTTGATTATGAAGTAAAGTGAAATGACTGGCTACTGATCAACCTCTGCTCTCTGGCTGCTGTACGCCATCTGGTTCTGATATTGACTGGCCTAGGTGTTCTCTTGGTGAAGTCCTCTGGTCTCTATTCACCCAATTATAATATCTTGGCATATAAAACCTGGGGGCATTCAAATAGGAAAAAAAATGGTACCAGATTCAGTGGAGAGTGACTTGTTCTTTTGGTCAAGACTGCAAAATTGATTGGGACATTAGGAGATTAGACTTGAAATGAGACCAATTCTCCAAGACAGCACTTCATACTCTTAGTGGAAAGTAGGAACCTGAAATATTAAGACAACTGAAAGGGATGTGAGGAAACAAGTAAATACAGAAGGCAGTGTAAAATAATACAAACCATCTACTGGGTTGCATGTCCTCCATGTTTACAGCTAACCATATGGTGTTGGGAGTATGCGGACTCTTTAACCAATTGCTGCCCGGGCAAAGGATGGTTCTGTAGACCTGCCAGGGTACTACGGATATGAGACTCTTCCGAGGGTACCCTTGGAACCTGCCAATACTCAAGCTCACCCAGAGAAGCTTCCAGCCTGGTCTAACCAGCACGCCCTAAGGTGTCTGTTCCATCCCAGCTTTTAGAACTTATGGCAGTGGACTCCAATAGCAGCCTCAGCCAGCACTGTCCATTTTCAGAGAATGTATGCATCTTGAGGTTAGGAGAAGGAATAATCCAAACAACAAAAGCCTTTTAACTGTTTACTGATTGGATTCAATATTTTTTTTGTAGTCATCTCAACAATGAGGGCACATTTCTAAAGATGCATAGTATACGTGAGAGGTGAGCTGAGTTATACCTTTGGGGGGAAAGGGGGGTTTGCCAGAGTTCACCATCCAGTGCAAAAGTGTTTCGAACAGTCCCAATAGTTCTGAAACTTTACTTCCCTTACATATTACTTTATTCTTCAGACTCTCCCTATGATGATCCCAGACAGGCTCCTGCCAACATTATTTAAATCTGAGCCATTTTTCCCAAGATGCCTCACACTGGCTTGGGAAGAGCTGTCACTTCTCAGGATCACACCCTGATGCTACTCCGGGGGCCTCCAACAGATTGCACTCCCTGCAAGGGGTCCCTCATCCTACACTCAAAGCTAATTATGACAACACGTTCTACTCTAATCAAGGAATACACTGGCAACTCCCATGCCCCTACAGCAGAAGGGACACAAAGCTTTCTAAGGGCCCCATGAGCTTTGTCGCTGCTACAGCTGAATGCGGCTAAATCACTCTGTTGGAATATTGTGATGCTAGTTACACCTCTGTATGAGTTAAAAAATAGTGGCAATTTTATAAACCCCTAATGCAGTTGCCGTTGTACCTTCATTGCCTTCTGAGCCCTGTACTCCTCTGTCTAAATGATCTTTATTGCTAGGCAAACGTTACTCCTCACTGCACCATTGTATACCAAATAAACCCCTTATAAACAACTCCTTTAACTAGGCCTCCATAAACCATTTGTTCTTTTATGACTAATACATTTTATTGCTTCTCTTCCAGCCCTACAAGATGCGGAGTGGCACTAAAGGGCTGAAAATTTTGTGCAGCGAGGATGAACAATCTCGCACCTGTTGGCTTACTGCCATTCGACTGTTTAAGGTAAGCTGGAATGAAGCAACATTTAAACTGTGCCCTCTTCTGTAAATTACTAATTATATCAGCCAATGATAGGTTGCAGGCTTATAATATTTGCATATTATATACTTTTTAGACTGCATTTAAAGTTCTTGATTCAATATAAGCCTAATACTGTAACCTGCAATGCCCCTTAGCTTTTTCAACTAGTAGATTAGAAACATTACCCGTGTTATGTTCTTTTGTAAAGAGTCTAACCCTACCCACTTTTGTTGTTGACTGCAATCTGTAGATCTCTATGCCAGCCTGACAAGTTGGCCCATATTTGCTGGCCTGATCTTTGGGATCTCTGTAATCTGTTTCCTGTTCAGACCTGTCTGGTCATATTATATCATCAATATATCTCCACTTCCAGCCCTAGCTGCAAAGATCTATGTGTGTCTAAAGCAAGATCCTTTTTAAAGAAATATGTCTTAGGCTCGTTTCACACTGCTGTGACTTCTCTATGAGAACCATTCTAACTGACACTACTGAAGTCGCTGCAACTTCAGAAAAGGTTCCTGCACTATTTTAAGGCGAATTGTATACAACTTCTGCCCATAGACTTGAATGGAAGTTGCATCCAAGTCTGGTCCTCATCTAATTTGATGATATTCAGTGCAGACTTTACAGGAAAATTACCCAGGCAAAGTCGCATCACATGAAAGTCTCTTCAAAGTCGAAATCAAGTCACATCAACTCGCCAGGAATTAGCTTGACTTTCAGATCGCAGGAGTGTGAACCGAACCTTAAATTGGCCATACACTAGTAGATTTTCAAACGAACGTTCATACAAAAATTTGCAGTACAATCGATGACTAGATGAATGTCGTTTCAACTAGACATGTGCGATTCATTTCATAACTAATTGATTTTCGTCCGAAAAAAAGATTTTAGGAGATTCGGATGTATATGAGTCTCTGAATGGACATAGTAACAAATGTAAATGAGTCTGAAAAAGTTATAATGAAATAATGAATGCATTTGTTTCATTTGGATGACATCACATGATCACATGGGGAAATTAATTCAATTTCCAAATTTGTTTGATGATTCGGATTCGAGTAAATTTGTGATTTAAATTTAACTTGTAATTGTCACAGTCAGTCAGTTAAATTCCAAACTCCAATGCAATTCTTAGGTTTGAAAAATTAGGGGTCACCGAAATTTGCATTATTTATTACAAAAATAATTAATCCTTCCAAATTTTTTATATATAAATAAGGAATCCACTCGAAATTTTAAATTTGAAAACTAATATAAAGCAATCTTCTGGAAAAAAATGCAACATTTTGGGAATCCACACGGACCAACAAATATGCGAAACGAATGCCGAATATAACAAAACAAATTCCAAAAATGAATTGGTTCATCATAACAAATATGAAAAACAAAATTCTTCTATGAAAGAATACACCTAAAACTAAAATTTCCAGCGTGCACGTGTCTACCTGTACTCTGAACGCATTTCAAAATTGTGTTAGCTATTAACATTAGATTTTGGAACGAATGGACTTTCCCAAACAAAAACCACATGCACCGTTAGAAATTTATTTGTTACAGAAAAAAATTTCTCTTCAATTTTGCTGTTGAAAACTAATGTTGATTTGACCCCACCAATGACTGGAAAATCGAACTAATGTTCTTAAATAAAAAAAATTGTCTGCTTTACTTTAGGGAGATGCAACCTCCACTGCTGGCTCCACTCTACTTGTGCCATTGTGCAGTATAGTAGTTCTACGGCAGTAATGACACCATGAAATTGAACTTATTTAGCTATACTTCCCTGGTATTATATAGCCTGGGAATCAGAGAATGATAGCATATCTTCACTGCCCTGGTAATATTATACAGCCCAGGAGTCAGCGAGTGGTGGCTTAGCTTCACTGCTCTGGAATTACTATACAGCCCAGAAGTCAAATAATAGGAGTTTAGTTTCTTTGTTCTGGAATTCGTTTACAACCTTGGAGTCAGAGAATTAAAACTTAGCTGTGCTGCCCTGGCATTAGTACACTATACAGTTAGTGTGAACTAAAGCTGGCCATACATGGCCAGCCTGCAGGCTGAACAAAAGAAATGTAACAGATTCCTCCATATATGTTAAACAGTGCAGATAGACAAATCCCTTTCTTCGATGCTTTTCATCCAGTAGGGCTTCATCGTTGTAAGAGGCTTGGAGCTGAAAATCTTTGTGTTTAACATCCAAAAGTGACTAAATGTGATTTGATGCAAATATTTTTCAAATGGAACAAGGCAGACACTGTTTGGCTGCAAAAATGTGTGCCAGGCACATTTTTTCAGTCAAAGGATGTCTGGCAGGAGGGTTCCAACATGGCCAACCAGAAAGCAAATTTCAGCTGGTGCATCAGGAACCGGACAAAAGTCAATCTGTTTATGGCCATCTTTAGCTTCTCTGCTCTGGAATTAATATGTAGTCGAGTCAGAGAGTGGAAGCTACAGCAGGAGGTTTGAAGCGGCATCTCCCACAAGTAAAAGCACCATGGCAGCTTTTTTGGTAAAAAAAAACAAAAACAGCAATGACAAACTATAACCTACTTCAGCCAATGACCTTTAACCTTTTATTAGTTTAGAATCAGCACAGACATGCTTTTTATTGATTGGTTGAAAAACTTAGTTCCTATTGAACATAATGCTTTACAACTGTTATGCTGACATTTATTCCTTTTTGTTCTCTTTTTTTAGTATGGGGCTCAGCTCTACAAAAACTACCAGATTTCCAGGCGCGGTCCCCAACCTTGGACAGATCTAAAAAAACAGGTAATATGGAGAAATTGACTGATGTCAGTGTCTGCATGTACATTGAACTGGAATTCCAGGCTATACCAAGTTAATCTTAAAAATGCTCCCTTCACCTCCTAACACACATGCTGACTAACTTAATGTATATACTTACCTATTTTCAGGCCCCTCCAATCTGGTAACGTGATATCCCTGATACCAACAATCGGGCACTATTCCATTTCCCTGACACCAACAATGGGGCACTATTCCTTTCCCTGATACTGACAATGGGGCACTATTACTCTCCCTGACACCAACAATGGGGCACTATTCCATTTCCTGACACCAACGATGGGGCACTGTTCCTTTCCCTGATACAACCAATAGGGCTCTATTCCTTTCCCTGACACCAATAATGGGGCACTATTCCTTTCCCTGATACTGACAATGGGGCACTATTACTTTCCCTGATACTGACAATGGGGCACTATTACTTTCCCTGATACCGACAATGGGGCACTATTACTTTCCCTGATACCAACAATGGGGCACTATTCCTTTCCCTGACACCAACAATGGGGCACTATTCCTTTCCCTGATACTGACAATGGGGCACTATTACTTTCCCTGATACCGACAATGGGGCACTATTACTTTCCCTGACACCAACAATGGGGCACTATTCCATTTCCTGACACCAACGATGGGGCACTATTCCTTTCCCTGATACAACCAATAGGGCTCTATTCCTTTCCCTGACACCAATAATGGGGCACTATTCCTTTCCCTGATACCAACAATGGGACACTATTACTTTCCCTGATACCGACAATGGGGCACTATTACTTTCCCTTATACCGACAATGGGGCACTATTATTTTCCCTGATAGCAACAATGGGGCACTATTCCTTTCCCTGACACCAACAATGGGGCACTATTCCTTTCCCTGATACCAACAATGGGGCACTATTAATTTCCCTGATACCAACAATGGGGCACTATTCCTTTCCTGACACCAACAATGGGGCACTATTCCTTTCCCTGACACCAACAATGGGGCACTATTACTTTCCCTGACACCAACAATGGGGCACTATTCCTTTCCCTGATACCAACAATGGGGACCTATTCCTTTCCCTGATACCAGCAATGGGGCACTATTCTTTTCCCTGACACCAATAATGGGGCACTATTCCTTTCCCTGATACCAACAATGGGGACCTATTCCTTTCCCTGATACCAGCAATGGGGCACTATTCTTTTCCCTGACACCAATAATGGGGCACTATTCCTTTCCCTGATACCAACAATAGGGAACTATTCTTTTCTCTGACACCAATGATGGGGCACTATTCCTTTCCCTGATAACAACAATGAGGCACTATTCCTTTCCCTGACACCAATGATGGGTCACTATTTCTTTCCCTGATACCAACAATGGGGCACTATTCCTTTCCCTGATACAAACAATGGGGCACTATGTTTTTCCCTACTACCAACACTGGATCATTATTCCTCCCACTAATATCAATGATGAGGCATTATTTATTCCCATTGACGCCGGGGTATCTTCTACTCCCACTGGCCACAGTCCGGCCCCCTCAAAGTCTGAAGGACAGTAAACCGACTCTTTGTTCAGAAAGTTTGGAGACCCCTGGCCTGGAGGATGGTGGGTAAATCTGGTAATGTCTAATAACCTATTAGAGTACAGTACTGTAACAAAGTCCTCCATATGTTAATGCCTTCATCAGGACAATGCAGTGAATGAAGTGAACTATCTATATAGGAGAACACTTAATTCTGGTCTTTTTTGCTGGAAGTAATTGCAATTGCTGTCCTTTTCAGCAGCTGACACAATTTTGCCAGCAGATAACCTATAATGTAGCTTTTGTGTAGGAGCATACAACTCCTTTAATAACACCAATTAGTAAGCCAGTTTTTGGCAGGAAAATACTACAGGCCTTCCTGTGCAACCTTGAATGCCAAGCACAGCCATTCGATAAGGTTTATTCTCAGGATTTAATAAAACGGACTATCCTTATTTGCCATTTGCTATTTAGAAAAAATTGCAATTCATGGACAATTTATAATTGTTTGGAGAGTAATGACTGAAAAGTTCAGGAATTTAGTCAGGTCTGAGCTGGTATATTTGCAAGATGGAAACAGATCTAAACTTTGGAATATGCAGTTCAGTTTTGGGCACCAATTCACAAAAAGAACATTGGGGAACTGGAGAAAGTGCAGAGAAGGGCAACCAAACTGATACGAGGCATGGAGGAGCTCAGCTATGAGGAAAGATTAGAGGAACTGAATTTATTCTCTCTTGAGAAGAGGAGATTAAGGGGGAATATGATCAACATGTATAAATACATCAGTGGTTCATATAGTGAACTCGGGGTAGAGCTATTTACCCTGAGGTCATCACAGAGGACAAGGGGCACTCTTTACATCTGGAGGAAAAGAAATGTAGGAAATACTGTGCGAGCTGTGATTGGTCACAGCTTGTCACATGGTACAAGGCTGTTGTGAATGGCCCTGTACCATGTGATCTCTGTGATCATTCACAGATTTCACAAGTAGTCAGCAATGATATCAGAAGTGACATCTTGCTTACTACTATTCATGTGATCACTGACTGGCCAATCAGTGATCACATGATCGGGACCTCACACAGAGGTCCTGTACAGCAATCGGTGTTCCGCTGTGTCTGGAGGACACAGCGAGCACCGGATCATGGTGCCGCGCGCGCTCCCAGGGAGCGCGCACAGGCAGGGAAGCAGGAGGACATTTATAAACGGCCACCCGCTCCTGCACTGCTCCCAGCCGGCCGTTTATATACATGGGCCAGAAGGGAAGTGGTTAATTATTAATTTTCAAAGCAAACCCCCCCCCCCCCTCATTCTTCCATGTCTCCATGCTTTATTTTGTTGAGAATCTGTATTTAAAGCCTAAATATAATTTTTTTTTTTATTTTGGATATTTTGGATTTTGCATAACAGGAAGTGAGAGGAAATCAGTGCTCATCAGGACAAATCGATAAGTGAATCATGGAGGTACCCTCATGGAGGTACAGACAGTAATAAAAAGCTGTTTCTAACCCCTCACCACTATTAAAAAAAACTATCCTACAAATGTTTGACTTAAAGCGATTGTAAAGGCAACATTTTTTTTAATAACAAGCATGTCATACTTGCCTGCTCTGTGCAATGGTTTTGCACAGAGAAGCCCCAATCCTCCTCTTCTTGGGTCCCTTACTGGTGCTCCTGGTTCCTCCGTCCTGCTGAGTGCCCAAAGAGCAAGCTGCTTGCTATGGGGGCACTTGAGCAGGTTCACTTCCGACCCGCTGCTCTGTGTGTCTATTTACACACACAGCTTGGCTCCGCCCATGCTCTTTCCTTATTGGCTCACTGACTGATTGATAGTAGTGAGAGCCAATGGCTCCTGATGCTGTCTTGGTAAATGAGGAGAGAGAGACCCGAAGCTTGCGTGCACATCGCTGGATCAAGAGGAGGCTTAGGTAAATGTTAGGGGGGGCTGGGGGATCTGCTGCACACAGAAGGTTTTTTACCTTCATGCACAGAATGCTTGAAAGTAAAACAATCTTGACGATTTACAGCTACTGGCAACAGTAGATGTTACTTTGCACGAATGCAATCTAATCTGAAATTTTCTTAATTTGCTATGGATTAAGTGACCATAGATCCAAGAGGACAGCTGTACATGCAGGTACAAAGGCTGTCAGGCACCATCTGACATAGACAGATAGGCATTTGGTTGGAAAGAGGAAGTCCAGTGCAAATTTCTCTTGGTGCTGGCTAAGTAGGGATAACGCTAGTGACCAGACAAGATTGTCACATTGCTCTTCCACCACTAGGTAATGGCCAGTGGTGTGTATATTACAGATGTGAAATTGTCACCCAATCCATCCAAAAATTGCATCTGATCTTTTCTGTACTTTGCAAATCATCACTGCTTTTACATTTTTTTTCCAAATGAGCCGAGTGGCATAGCCAACTATTCTAGCCTGGAACTTAGGAGACCAGGCAAATGGGATAAATATGAGTCCCCTTCTTTTACTGTCCCCAATCCATCTGCCATAGTACAGAACAGCAGTGGCAAGTCTGCACATGCTCAGTTTAGTGCATATTGCTAGAGAGTTTGTTTTTTGGGGGGGCCAATCAGTGCTGTTCAGACAGAAGGTCAGGGGTTATGCATCATCACTGGACAGTCAGAGGAGAATGAAACTATTCCTACAAAATTAACCAGTACTCAGCCAGAGACTGAAAAAGGCTACAAGACTGCTATATACTGCTGCTGAGAAAAGGTATTTAGCAGTTTATATTTACTAAAATAATTGCATTTCCATGTTGTGTGTACTGTGGGAGACCAGATATAGTGAATGCAGGTTCCTGGGAGACCAGATATAGTGAATGCAGGTCCGGGGAGACCAGATATAGTGAATGCAGGGTCCGGGGAGACCAGATATAGTGAATGCAGGGTCCGGGGAGACCAGAAATGCAGGGTGCTGGGTTTAGGAACACTTTAAGGGTGTGTCTATAGTCCTTCTCCTGAAGAAGTAGGACTCTACTTTGCATTGGGTAGCTGCTTCTTCTACAGAAAAATCCTACAGAGTATCCATTCCATCAGACTTGCTGTCCAAAAAAAGTGAACTAGACTTTTCACGGAAAAAGGAGCTGTCCTAGTGGGAGAGTTTCTAGTACAGGTTACACAAAGGAGATGGCGAGGGTGGGTGAACATAGGACTTTGGGGGGGGGCGCGGGGGGGGTGCTTAGTTAAAGCACAGTTCCAGTCCTTTTTGTGTTTATTAAAAGCCAGTAGCTGCTGGCTTTTAATAAACACACATTTACCTGTCCCAGGGTCCAGCGATGTTCTCACCCGCATCGTCCCTTCTCCCCTTCTCTCCTCCATGGCGCCGGCATCTCTGTTGTGGGCACCAGGCTGTGACAGCTTGCACCTTCGCAGCCTGGTGCCCACTGCACATGCACGAGTCGCGCCTCCTGATTGGTTTGGCAGTCTCCTGGGACCTGTGAAAGTTCCCAGGAGACTGCGAGAGCAAGGAGGGGGCCGAACTCCCAGCTCACTTCGCCACTCCCCCCCAAAAAAGTTTCCAAATATGGCAGTGGAATGGGGGAGGAGGCAAATAAGCGAAGTTTCCGCTTTTGAGTGGAACTTCGCTTTAAAGAATAACTGTAGAAAGTACAGTTATCCTTTAATACAAGGTGCACCCATACCACTGGATTCACAGAGTGTATGTTCTAAACAGAGAGCATAGCAGAAGCTGTTAGCCTTCAGACTGGAACCTGTTCTGAGCAGAGCAGCCAAGGGCAAGGAGTCACCCTTTTGAATATTTCAGCTCTGTTTGCATATTTCAGCTTGAGCTATTGAGCTCTGTAGGTAACAGTTTTTTTTTCCAGCAAAGTAGCTAAAAAAAAGACCAAAAAAAGTTGCGTAGAACAGTTCTACTGGATAGAATTGTACATACTCTAGTTGTATGCCATGTTTACCAAAACTAAAAAAGAAAATCTTTTAAAAAATATATATTTTCTGTTTTTTGAACATAATAAATACAACATATTAATACAAATTAGGCATTTCTTTTGAATGTAACTTATTGTTTTGCTCTTCACAGCGCAGCGTCTCAGATAGCACATTGGTCCCTATGGATTTTTCAGGCTGCACAGGTCGAGTGATAGAGAATCCTCTGGAGGCATTGTCTGTGGCCTTGGAAGAGGCCCAGTCCTGGAGGGTGAGTATTTAGAAATTTAGTTTTTTTTTTTATGCTTTATGAATATGTCATGGCGATGCACATCATTGGAATAAAGAGTTTGTAGCGTGTAAAGGGTAGAACGCTCTGCAGGTATTTTAGCACATCCTTTGCCATGCCAAAACACCACATCTTTTTATGTTCTACTTAATTTTGGAAGATAGCCTGTTCCACTCATTCTACATATATTTAAAAAAGAAGTATAGATACATTTTTTGCCATAATTCTCTGGTGGGCAACAAAAGTGCACTTACTTTTGTTCTCCTGTGACCCAGAGTCAGCTGAGAGTGTGCTCTTCCCTGCTCTCAGCTAACGTAGCAGAGCTGCTCCAGGATCTGGAAGGATCCTGACAATATTGTCGGGATCCACCCAGCTGCCTGATTGACAGCTGGCTCCTCCTCTCAACACATGGCAAAGAGTTGGAGCCAGCTGCACTCACCCCCTCAACTGCCTGGTGCTCCAGTGACTGATTGAAGAGCAGAATGGAGAACGCTGATTGGCAGTCACTGCTCTCCGCTCTGAGCAGGCTGGGAACTTGTCGATCAGCGATCACGTGATCGCTCAGTTCTCCGTCTTAGAGCTGATGTGGGATGACTGCAGCATCACACCAATGCTGCAACATAAAGGCAAGTGTGTTTTTTTTTTTTTTAAACTTCTTTAAATTTCCGCCTTGTATTTTAAGTCAGATGTCTTGCAAATCGCACCTGAAATCAGCATGTCATCCGACTTCACTGTAAGTCACACGATTTCAAAGTCGGGCTTGATGTGACCGGGGTGTAGGAGTAGGGTTGTCACCTCATCCCTTTAAACCTGAACACATATTACTTACACAGGTTCTGGGGCTGATTAAGTTATCAATTAAACTCACTTAGTACCATGTCTGCATATTAAATTAGCCTCAGAACCTGTGCAATTAATATGTGTTCGGGTTTAAAGGGACGAGGTGGCAACCCTGATTAGGAGGGGTTTTCCCTGGTCTGTTTCATTCAACCACTGTATATGTGTTCTGAATAAACTAGAATAGCAGGGGGCCAAATTGCACAACCTATAACAAACCACCTGCTGGATGCAAGTTGTAAATATAAAATATGCTATATTTCATATTTAGCGGATAGTGTCACAAGAAAACCTGTGTAACAAACAGGGATGGACTGACCATTTGGAAACTCAGGCACTGCCCGAGGGCCCGGGGTCAGTAGGGGGCCCCATGAGATGCCCCTGGTACCTTTTTCATAGGCTTTTTTGAGTTTGGGCAAGGACACAGGGGCCCCATGATCCCCTATTGACCGGGGGCCCCATGAGTTGTCAGTCCGCCCCTGGTAACAAACTGCGCTCACCCCCCCGGAAAATGTCACCTGTTTAAATAGCTGTAATGAGCCCGATAAGGCTCTCCATTAGCTAAGCGATTGTCTGAGCCTGATTAGGATTGTGTGAGTGCAATGAAAAAAAACATTGGAATGCTCAGGCTGGCCATACACTATACAATTTTCTTACAGTTTTCTGCCCAATTTCCTTTAGATTTACCTGAAACTATGTAAGGGCTTTCCTAATTGGATACAATTGAAAGTGTTGTAAGGTTTGACCTCATATTATTTGGTTTTTGGTAAATCTAAACCTGGCTCCTGTCTAAATTTTCCCTAGTATGTGTATGTATAAATGTGAGTTAGGGAACTTAGATTGTACGCCCCTTGAGGGTCAGGGACTGATGTGAATGTACAATATATATATATATATATGTATAGCGCTGTGTAAATTGACAGTGCTATATAAGTACCTGAAATAAATAAATAAACCAAAAATCTCAAGAAAATTGTATAATGGGGTGGCACAGTGGCTTAGTGGTTAGCACATCTGCCTTGCAGTAAATGGGTCATGGGATCGATTCCTGACCATGGCGCCTCCTGCATGGAGTTTGCATGTTCTCTCTGTGCTTGCGTGGGTTTCCTCCGGGTACTCTGGTTTCCTCCCACACTCTAAAGACATGCTGGTAGGTTAATTGGATCCTGTCTAAATTGGCCCTAATAAGTGTATGTATGAATGTGAGTTAGGGACCTTAGATTGTACACCCCTTGAGGGTTAGGGACTGATGTGAATGTACAATATATATGTAAAGTGCTGCGTAAATTGACAGCGCTATATAAGTACCTGAAATAAATAAATAAATGTATGGCCAGTTTAATGCAGGCCATAGATGGGTCAAAAATCAGCCGATTTTTGGGCCGAAAAAAAAATCGGCCGTATTTCTCACCATTAACGGGGTTATTTGGTCGGCCATTTTTTGGGGTTTTGGCACTTTTTTTTTATCGATGAAGTTGGAAAAAAATTGGCCAATTTTGCCGATCGGCCGATTTTCCCGGCAATGATGGGGAAATCGGCTGATCTTTTTACTGATAAAAAATCTGCGCATGAGCCGTGGCCTGCAAGAAGAAAGAAAAAGAAAAAGAAAAAGAAGAAAAGAAAAAAAAGAAAAAGAAGCAGAAGAAAAAGAAGAAAAAGAATTCCAGTCCACTATTATATTTGAAAGTATTGCAGTTGCAACAATGTATCTTTTTTTATCCAAATAAAAACATCTGTATCCAAAATGGATACAAATGGATACATTGTTGCAACCGCAATACTTATTCATGTCAAATATAATAGCAGAGCTCTCTGCAGGGACAGAAGTAATTAAATGCCGGCCGTAGACGGGATGAAAATCGGCCGATTTTTTTTTTTTTTTTTTTTTTTACCGTTGGTGGTAACATCGGCCTCATGAACGACCAATTTTTTTTCTTTTTTTTTTTTTTTTTTTAAAAACGTCCGGGTTTTTGACCCGTCTATGGCCTGCATTAGGCTGGCCATACACTATACAATTTTCTGTTCAATTTCTGCCCAATTTCTTTTAGATTTACCTTCAACTATGTAGTGCAGGGGCCTGCCTAATTAGATACAATAGAAAAGTGTTAGGTTTAGGTATTATATGGATTTTGGTAAATCTAAAGCAAAAATCTCAGGAAAAATGTATATTGTATGGCCAGCCTTATCCCACACTTGACTTTTTGAGAACACTGGTAACGTTAGCTGTTTAAAGTCACTTTTTTTAGTGTTTTATTTTACCCAAATATATTTTTGGTGAAAAAAAAAAAATGTCCAAAATTGCCGCTTTGTGACTTTTTACCACGTTTTGCAGCGTTTTTCAGAATTAGAGCATTTTTACAGCTAAAAACCTCTTCTAGAATCCCACTAGTCCTGGGTTTTTTTTTGCAGCCAAAAAACGTCCCAGCCAAAAAACGTTGATTACAATCTATGTGTGCATGGACACATAGGATAACATGCTGGGGGGTTTACTAGCTGTAGAAAAAAGATCTCCACCTAGGCCACTGGCTGGGGAAAGCATGGGCTAAAGTGGAAATGACACTGCCGCAGGGATGGATGGAGCTTCCGCAGGGTCTGGAGTCCAAGAGCCCCAAACCTCTTAAAAAACAGGGATGCGTTTTGAAGCAATCCTGCTACTTTTTCAACCTGCAGCTGGTATAGTGGTTGCTACATTATGGGGTGTGCACTCCTCTCTCCCTCTTCTTATATTTCATATTTATCGGACTAAGACGTGGATAAATACTTCCATCGCCTTTATGGAATTGCAGGGAGGTGACCGTGTTTCCTTGCAACTACAGATGAAATTCATCATGGGCCTCTTATGTATATTGGTGCAATATACCCTCGTGTATTGTATTGTTACTGTATTGTCTCATGTACTGTCCCCCACTACAATGTACAGCGCTGAGCAAACTTTCTGGCATTATATAAATACTGTATAATAATAATAATAATAATATACAGCATTACAGAATGTCAGTATCTAATGTGTTGTCCATTGTCTTGCAGAAAAAGACAACTCAGCGTTATAGTCTGCCCAACCCATGCCAAACTACCCCAAGCAGTGCAGGTAATGTTGGCATATGATACAAAATGCTGGCATGTTTTTATTTGCAAACTTGTCCTTTGATACAAACATGCTGCCCTCCCGAAACTGTTCAAGCAGCAAATTCAGTGCAGATCTATTTAGATCTGCTTACCAACAGTTTTTTCCAGCACACTACAGCTCATCAAGTACTGTTCAAACATTTTATTGAAGAATTTCACAGGTCACAGTGGACAACATGTACCAGGGGTCACGTAACACTTGTTCATTCCCATATGCTTAAAAATACCAAATATATTGCATATATTTGAAATACTAAAATTTTGGCTGTATTCAATATATTTCAAAATATACTGTATATATAATTATTGTTATTATTATACAGGATATTACAGCACCAACAGTTTAGACAGCAGACATTACAGTTAAATCTCAGTTGCTTACAGAAATTTATATATCTATCTATTTGTCGTATCCGACCCTGGCTGCATACCATCACAGTGACTTTTTTTTTCCAGCACAGGTTGTCTTTACAGCTCATCAGTACTGTTATTTTTGAAGAATGATCACAGGGTCAATTATTATTATACAGGATATATACAGCACCAACAGTTTAGTAAAGGGGTTTAGGGACTATAGCACTACAAAAGAAGGTAGACATTACAGTTTACAATACAATTTGGTACAAGAGGAAAAAGAGGGAAAACCCGGCTTGTTAGAGCTTACAATCTAAGAAATTTATATATCTATCTATTCAAGTTGTATCCAGACCCTTGGCGATTGCATGGACCATCACTTGTAAGTGACTTTTTTCCATGAATTCTCTTAGCAATTATTTTACAGGGTAGGTTGTCTTTCCCCAACCCCTACCATGCAGGGATATCCTGCATGGCCAGGGATGAAACCTAGGACAATTTTTAGACAGGAGCCAATTAACCTACCAGCATGTCTTTAGAGTGTGGGAGGAAACTGAAATCAAACCTGGAGGAAACCCACACAAGCACATTGGTAGAACATGCAGGTAGCTCCATGCAAGGAGGCACCATGCTGGGATATTGAACCAAACATGGTCACCCATTTACTGCACAAAGGCTGACATAGGAAGCGCTAACAAGGCACTTTTAAGCCCTGGTCGTGGCAGAAAGAAGATGTGACCGACCCTATGAAAATATGGAGAGCAAGAGAAATGTGGATGGACTTTGATGAAAAGATTTGTCAGATAGATAGACAATAGATCGCGCAAGACACTGCGTAATGAATAGAATAGATCCAAAGAATATAGATAGATAGATGGATAAAACCTGATAAGATAGACATTTGTGGATAGATTAGAACTGTTATGTTATTTTGTCTGCCCTATCAAGTGCTAGATGGAGGATGTAAGAAGATGCCTATGATAGCCACTGTAGATACTCAATTTCATATAGATAGATAGATATTTATATATAGATATTTGAAATGATTGTTTTTATTACAATAGAAGATTAGTTAGATAGATTTGATAGATAAACTACATCTTCTTAAATATACTGTATAGATAGAATAGATTCTTTAAATAATGATACATAGCCCATAATCGATACAATCGTTTTGGAATGATTCATTTTTAAATGTACTTCAAAAATATATGTAAATGTACAAAATATATGTAATGTAAGCAGAATAAATGTTAAAATTACTTTTTTATATGTTCAAAAAAAATCTGCCAAAAATACATTTAAAAAATATATATTTTTAAAAATATTTTTCAAATATTTTGTAATCTATAAAAAAAGCATTTTAACATGTAGTATATATATATATATATAATATATATATATATATCTTAGATTGTAAGCTCTAACGAGCAGGGCCCTTTGTTTCCTCTTGTACCAAATTGTATTGTAACTGTAATGTCTACCTTCATTTTGTGTAATATATATATATATATATATATATATATATATATATATATATATCAGGGGCAGACTGACAACTCATGGGGCCCCCGGGCAATAGGAGATCATGGGGCCCCTGTGTCCTTGCCCAAACTCAAAAAAGCCTATGAAAAAGGTACCAGGGGCATCTCATGGGGCCCCCTACTGACCCCGGGCCCTCAGGCAGTGCCTGAGTTTCCAAATGGTCAGTCCGCCCCTGATATATATATATATATATATCTATATATAGATATATATATCTATATATATATATATAGATATATAGATATATATATATAGATATTTTATTTATTTTTTTAAATATACTGAATACGGCCAAAATTGCAGTATTTCAAATATATGACAATAATTTGGGAAGAATATTTTAAAAATATATTTCAAAATATATTTTTCTTCCATGTGGGTTATCTGAACTAGTTATGCTACCCCCCCAGGGCATGTGATCATTCTTCAATAAATCTTTCAGAGGGTATTCGATGGTTCGTGATGTGCTGGCAAATATGTACATTGACCTGTGTTGTCTCCAGTCTCCAGCTGGCTGTTGCTGCAACACTCATTACTCCTGAGCCTAGCTCAGGAACGTGTGCAATGGGAATATTGACATTATCCACTATCAATTTCAGTGACCCTTAGAAAATCCAAATCCAACACCCCTCCTTGTTCTTATAATTGGGCTATTATCACAATTACTAGATTTGGCAGATTATTAGTCCCAGAATACCAACACATTTTTAACATGGATGCCAAGTTGGGGGAATGGGTGGGTCCAGCAGAAATTCTCTAATTTATAAGTAAGAACAGAAGAGGGAATCCAAATTGCAGTGTCCAATGTGTTTAAAGAGTAAGTGCAATTTTTTTAGCAAAATGTGAACAACCACTTTAGTTAGAAATGTAAATTTCATACACAGGTGCATCAAAAATGTAGACAAAAAAAAAGTTAGTTTTGAATATAATAGTTACATAGTTAGTCTGGCTGACAAAAGACAAAAAGTCCATCCAGTTCAACCATTACAAAAAAAAAGTTATAATCCTATACCCACAGTTGATCCAGAGAAAGGCAAAAAACCCAGCAAAACATGATACGATTTGCTCCTGCAGGGGAAAAAATTCCTTCCTGATCCCCCGAGAGGCAATCGGAATAGAGAAGTGTTGAAACTTCGGTCATTGTCTTTTTTGCTTTGTGAGTCCCCCTTTCCTGGAGACTTGCCCCTCTCTCTAGTGAATTCCACCTCTATGATCTACATGTTTCCAGATGGTTCACCTATCCTATTTTCCAACAGTCATACACAAGACTCAAGCATGGTATCATGGGCGTCTATCAAGAGATGAGACTCAGCGTCTCATGATGCAGCAAGGAATGGTGGACGGGTAAGACCAGAAAGCTTTGCCATCTTGTCATCACTACCTCTGAATCTCTCAGCACTTCTAAGTGAATCTTCACTCACACAAAACGCCCATCATCAAAACAGAGTTTACTGTAAACACACAATTTGCTGATGCGGCTTAAATCTGTATAATTATTACATTTTATGTATACTGTGAACATCTGTTACCATATACAGACTCCAGAGCCAAGCGAAGAATAAACTTTCACGGACATTACCAAAATATAGTTGGAACCCATAATATATTTTCCCCCATATTTGATAGAGCCAGCAGTAACCAGTTAAAGCAACCCTGACACTAGCTGCAAATCAAATGAAGACGAGAAGAAGGAGATAAATACTTACCGACAAACTGTGTCTCACAACTTTGCTGTATTGAAGATCTCAGGCCACCACTGGTATCTAGTCTGTTCAATAATTGGTCCCTCACCATGTGCACTGGTTGCCCCTTATGTAGAAACACAAGCAGACTGCACAAATGACATACAAATGAATTAAAACAACCCCAGGTGCCAGAACTACAAGGCAATGTACTAATCTAGCTACTTTGCTTCCCAAATTGGTATACCTATACACCATACCATAGACACAGTTTGAAGTTTTTATTTCTGAAAAGAACCTTGTAAAGCTTAACAGAAAAGTTTTCCTGTTAAAGAAGAATGCATGTATTCTCACTGGTTCCTCCTATTGACAACCAGTCACTGCAGCACACAGTAGTGACATGGAGGTCATCAAGAAGAACCGGCAGGAGCTGCAAAGAGACCGATGCCCCAGAAGAGTCAGTTTACCAGGGGATTTCAAGGGATTGTATCTCATACAATATAGGGTTATAGTTTGGGAAAATTATACTATTGAGTGATAAGTGAGGTTTAAAGTTGAATTGAATTTGTGTGCAAAGGCCCCACACACCTCAACACTTAAAATTTTGACCTATGGTCAGAAGCTGGTCTTGTAGCTACTTGCAGATCTGCAGCACTTCAGCATGGTTCATAAAAGTCTCCCTGAGCTGGATAGGTGCACTGCTGTCCAAGGGAGCAGCATCAACTTATACAGGGATGTGCCAGGAGAGGATGCCTGTGGTGGCCATTTTTGCTGTACCCCCACTTTCCACCTAGATACTGTATCCATCCTGTGTGATAGGTGCAGTGGCCAGACAGGGAACTTAGTATTGCTGAGATTGTGGTTTACTAGGCTCAGCCTTGCTCAGCTGTACTGAGAATAGAATGTTTGGTATGGACACTCTGGCCTCAATGTTGGCCCCCACCATGTTGTGGCAGGTGATCACATGGGTGGCACAGCCCTGGATTTTGAAAACCTGTGTTTGCACTGCAGTTCATTCAGGCATCTCAGGAAAATTCTTGTAAACCATTTGTAAGCTATGGGGTTAGGGTGTAAGTTCAACTTTTCATTTTTTGTGAAAAGGTGAAGTTGCACTTTTCACAAAAACGAACATGGGCAGCCACAGCAAAATACTGGCCAACTTATATCTGCCAGTCACAGCGGACCTGTTACCATTTGATGAAAAAGCATGTTTCACTGCTAAAACTACCTTAAAAAAAGCCTTTTTTAAAAGCGGAAATGGTTTGGATTGGGATGATGCTGCTATATTGAAGCTATCAATGCTTCCCTAATGCCACATGGAAAGATCACACAGCTTCCCATGACTTTTTAAGACATTACTTTGCCTATTAGCCCTAAAAATAGTTGGAATATAACTCCCTGCTATGTTTAGGATCAATGGACTTTGAACAAACCAAATCTTTGGTGAATCGAATCTGGGCAGATTCAACCATCACTAGCTATGGGTCTGCCAACTTTCTTACGACAGGCCTCTGATTTAAGGTCTGTGTTCCTAAGTGTTGAGGAGCATAGGGCAAACACACTTTTCTTATGGAAATTAAGTGTTAATTTTAGGGGTTAATTTAAGGTACAGATATGATGAGAGTAACATGTAGGCTGTGTGGGAACTCGCTTCAAAGTAGTAGAGCTTTTCATTTAAAGCACACAGTGACTCGCTTCTTTAAGGGCCTTTTTGCCCAATTTTATTGAAACAAATGTCCCATAACATAAAGCTTCCCATGCAGGGGTATCCACCATCAAACAAAACAACGATTCAGCCTCCTGGCTTATACTCAGCTTGATGTCTGTCTCCTGCAGACTTCTTCAAGAATTATGGCTCTTGCACACAGCTGGCCACTAGCACACAGCTACTCCCAAGTAGCTCCTTGCTGCTTTTGGCATCCACCTCTCCTTGGTGGAGCCCCTCTGACTCCTGTCTTCCAGGTGGAGCCCTCCTGACTCCTATCTCCTGGGGTGGAGCCCTCCTGACTCCTATCTGCGGGGTGGAGCCCAGAACCCTGGTCCTGACTCTATGAAAAGGCCTGCACACACCTGTGCAATCAGTCTCCTGGCCATTCCAACACCTTGTCCCAGGATTGGAGATTTCATCCCTCCCAGATCTCTTTGAAATCTCCAGGCTCCAGATCCCAAAACAGACCTTACAAACAAAGGAGGAAAGTGAAAAGCCACTCTCCTCCGTATCAAACACTTACCCTGGAGCCCCTCAACCTACCTTGTTGAGAATCCTGGGTGACAGATCGTCACACTGTCACAGCTGGTCTTCTTCGGAAAATGACAGATGATTAGCTGTTTCGGGCTTCAGTACGTTAGAGTTTGGGAAGGCTTGTCTGTATTTGTAATCTTTGTAATCCTTAACTATCAAGAGGTTCAAGAGAGGATTGTCTAAATCTTCGCTAAATGAGAAAAGCCCTATAGATCCATTGACAATTGTTGCATATTATTCTTGACATGATTATGGTCTTTTGGCACATAATGATTGCCATATCATAGGAGCATAGTACCTCTGTTGAAAGACAAGTTATAGCACTAACACGGTGAGTAACCCCTGCCCTGAGGATGACTGTGATCTTACTATTGAAAGCAGGAAACTTGTTGTCATTGAGTATTAAAAGTGGACAAAGAGATAGCAAATTGTTTGGATTGTGCTAGTCATGGGCAATGGTTTGAAAGGAAATAGGACACATCTTCTCTTGTCTTCTGACATAGATACTCTCTCTTTGTTCCCCCACAGAGTTTTCCTGGTGCGAGAAAGCACAAGAAATCCCAAAGGATTTGTCCTGTCATTGTGTCACTTGCAGAAGATCAAGCACTACCTCATCCTACCGGTATGTAGCTGACCTCAGTGCAACTGGAGAACGTGAGGAGAACATGGTGCATTATGCAAAGCAATTATGGCACTGAAATAGCTAGCTGCTAAATTAAACGCGACTCTGATAGGAATTTATGATGTAACCCCTGGAGCCATTAGTTCTTTCTGCTAGATAAGCAGTTTTTAATTATTTCAGCAAATTTAAAGGAAACTCATACTGAAAGAAACACAAGGGCTGCAACTGCTCACTTTCTTCTGAAAATGGGTGCCTGCTAGTCTCTGGTCTCAGGGTTTTCCGAGAATATAACATATAACATAAATCATGCAAGCAACTAATGAAGTCAGATCAGTATAACAGCCAGGCAGGCATCAATATTCATCAATGGCAGCTTGCAAACTTTTTTTTCAGTTCACTTTTCCTAAAAGGCACACTAAAATGAAAACGATTTTGGCTTGGAAATTTCAACCAAAGCATGACCTTTCCACCATGATAGCATTATTTATTTATTTATTTATTTAGTTATTTATTTATTACAGGTACTTATATAGCACCATCAATTTATGCAGCGCTTTACCTTGTACATTCACATCAGTCCATACCCCTCAAGGAACGTACAATCTAAGGTCCCTAACTCACATTCACACATGTAGATACTAGGGCCAATTTAGACAGGATCCAATTAACCTGCCAGCATGTCTTTGGAGTGTTGAAGGAAACAGGAGTACCTGGAGGAAACCCACGCAGGCACAGGGAGAACATGTAGACTCCAGGCCAGTGGCGCCATGGTTGGGATTCCAACCAACGACCCCAGTGCTAGTATTGCTGTGATAAGATATTATTTACTGCTGTGGCAGTATAAAATCCACCCAAGGTTTAAGCTAGCTATATATTTGGCACTTTTCAGTCAATTTCAAGATCACTAATATAATTGCAAATAATCTCCAGAAACAAAGCATTCTACCACCTACAAGTTTAATAGACCACCATAATTTGATCAGTTGTAAAGCCAAAACTGGGAAATAAATTGACAGCTAAATTACAGTTTATTTAATAAAAAAAAAATGGAAGAAAATGTATACAGCAGTCTTCAAAAGTGACCTGATTTTTCCGTTGAGGTTAAGTAGGGCAACTTTCATCCCATTTTCTTATGTCCATTCAAAACCACCATTTTTTGTCTTTGATTGTCTTTTTATTTCCACAAAAAAATGTAATCAAAAGTTCTGATTGCATGTATATTTGCAGAAGAAAATGTGCATTTATTATTTTTTCCCACAGAAGCCTGCGCTACATTGCACTCGTGATCACTGGATCATGGATGCAATGCCAGGTTGCTTTAGACTCTTCCTCCATCTCTATGTCCATACCAAGGTATGAACTTTTAGCTGGAGAGCTGGAGGAAGTGTCAGTGGACTACAAATGCATAGACTGCCACACTTTCTTTTCACTGAAAAGTCCACCTGTTGCAGTGGGACTTGTAGCTCATTCAAGGTGGGGGCTGATTTGCACCATGTTACACTCTCTGTGGTGTAACATGGTAAAAATGGTGGAGTTAGCCTTTAAATCACAACATGTATGGACAGCTTTGTTATGGGTTAGGTTTAGGTTAAGTTTGGTGCTGGTCTTACAGAAGACAATCTCAATTGTTTTGAGCCAACTTTTGATTGTGAAGGTAGGGACCAGGTTCAACCTACCCCAAACAGTTATCAGTCAGTTCACGATTGGTAGTTGCCAATAGATCTGTTCAGTTGTTTCTGCAATTAAACACTTGTTGAAAGCGGATGAAGTTGACAGGCTTACTACTGTAATGTTGGCCAGCCACACTACAGTTTTGCAACATGAGAAAAGACTTTCAACCTGCTTTGCATCAAGAAATTGACTAGATAGGTCAAGAAAACATGCTACCAACAATTTCTATCCAAACTTTTCAATGATCACATCAGATTGGCTCTATTTTTTCAATCATATTTTGAATCTAAACCTCGTTAAGGGGTTTTATGAAGTTTAGGATCTTTGAGTATCATTTTTCATATGCAGTAAGTGTTGTTATGTGATGAGTGCATAATGTATGCAGAAAAGTGTTTTTGTAAATTGAGTGCCGAAGTAACCAGTATCAAAACTCTTGCCCAAGCAATGACAAAGTCAAATTTTAGAAGTTGAAATTTGCTTCTACCTAATTAGCGGTCTTCCTCATCCACGAATTTACATTAATTGTGCAGCTGGTTTTTCCCAGGGTCCTGCTTAGATGGTTATTTCATACTTCAGCACATAAAGGGCAGGTTGCAAGTTGTATACTGTTGCTATTTCTTTTAGATTCTGCAGTTTACTTAATAAAGTAGTAGGGAATGTTCTCCTGGCTTTGCAACAAAAACAAACTGCTGACAGCCATAAAGTGCAGGTATCTAGATGTCCTTAAACATACCTGCAGCAGCTTTCGTTACCCCCTCTACACCCAAGTGCTGTTTTAATTGGGCAACACTTTAACAATTGTATGGTAGTGTTCAGGCTTGACTGCCACCTTTAACACATTTCTATTAGTCCCCAAAGTAGCCCTTTATAGTGATGAGCAGGGCCAGGAAAAGCAGTGGGCTGGAGGGGCGGCTGCCCTGGGCGTGGTTGGGGATTTGGAGGGTTGTGCTAGAAGGAGTGATTTGGAGGGGGATTTGCACTAGGAGGGTGGACTTGTGTATGAAGATTGATTTGGGGGGGGGGATTGTATTCATAGGGATGATTGGGGGGGATTTGTACTAGGAGAGGAAATTGGGGGGGGGATTAATGCTAGCAGAGGGGATTTGTGCTGGGAGAGGGGAATTTGGAGGGGGGGAGAGGATTTATGCTCAGAGGGGAAATTTGAGGGATAGAGGATTTGTGTTAGGAGGGAGTGCACTTGAGCTGGGAGGAGGGATTTGTGGTGGAAGTGGGTACATTTTTTGTTTAGGGAGAATTTTGACATGCAAAGGGAATTTTTGCTTATGGGAACATTAGTGCTTTATTTTTTTTTTATTGGGGGGGAGGAAGGCACCATTTGGCATCTTCACCTTGAATGTTTAGAAGAAAACACAAAAGGGCAAACTCTCCTTGTGTACTACTGTGATAAAAAAGGCTTTATTAAAAATGACAATCATATACTCACAAACCAAGGGTCAGGTAAACAGATAAGGAACCAAATATGACAGTCCCAGAAAATAGTGGTCCTACGACAGGGTATGCTAATGCATTTTATCTCTGAGGAAGGGAGTTCAACTCCCGAAATGCATCAGTATACCCTGTTGTAGAACCACTATTTTCTGGTTTGTGAGTATATTTTTTTTTTTTCATTTTTAATAAATCCTTTTTTATCACAGTAATGCAAGAGGAGAGTGCTCCCTTTTGTGTTTTCTTCAAGTAGTGTCAAGATTCCCCGATCTTTAGAGGGCTGCACCTCAGTAAGTGACAGAGACTGTGTCCCTGTGATGCATGAAAACCTGAGTGCTGGTTTTGCTTTTTCTTGAAGTCTCACCTTGGAAGTTACATGACCTTGTACTGGCACTGGCGATGAGCCGGTAGGAATGTACAGGAGCAGCCAACGCTCATACACTACAAAACAGAAATTGTGCAACTACCCCAATAATGTAATTCAGTAGGAAAAACTATCTTACGGTAACAGATTAACAGGTTCCACGAGTCACTGCTAGAGGTTTAAAACAGATGCAGTCGGCAACTCTCAAATCCTTCACAGCATAAAATACATTCATTAAGTATAAGTAGAGCTAAAAAATCCAGAGAACAAGCAGCTTACGCGTTTCTGCCTTCGGGAGGCCTGAATCATTAAGGTCCCTGATAGTAGAAACACGTAAGCTGCTGGTTTTCTGGATTTTGCTTACCTCTGCCTATACTTAAAGTGGGAGTAAACTCCCACTGGACACTTGTACCTATAGGTATGATTATAATAAAGCTTACCTGTAGGCATGAGGAATATGCACCGTTTAGGGGATATTCACTGTATCACCGGCGCATGTGCTGTCAGCGCGTGAGGAAAGTACTGCCGAAAACCAGCAGTTGTCAGAGCAGGGATCGGCACCGATCATCACGGCACTGCTGATTAGTGTCCTGATGATCGTGCCCAGCAGTGCCACTCACCAGTTCCGCCCACCTGTGCCCAGCAGTGCCGCCCACCTTTGCCCAGCAGTGCCACCCACCAGTGCCATCCACCTGTGCCCATCAATGCCACCCACCTAGGCCCATCAGTGCCCACCAATGCCACCCACCAGTGCCCATGAGTGCAGCCCAGCAGTGCTGCCAGTCAGTGCCCAGCAGTGCCGCCAGTCAGTGCCAACTATCAGTACCCATCATCAGTGCCAGCTCATCAGTGCCGCCAATCAGTGCAACATCAATACTGCCGCCTCATTAGTGCTGCCTATCAGTGTCCATCAGTGCCGCCTATCAGTGCCCATCAGTGCAGCCTCATCAACGCACATCAGTGAAGAAGAAAAATTACCTGTTTGCAAGATTCTATAATAGAAACAAAGAAACTTTTTTTTTTCAAATTGTTTGCTATTTTTGTGTTTATAGTGCAAAAAATAAAAGACCCAGCGGTGTATAAATACCACCAAAAGAAAGCTCTGTTTGTAAAAAAAATGATAAAAATGTCATATTAGTACAATGTTGCATGACTGCACAATCGTCAAAGTGTGAGCGCTGAAAGCTGAAAATTGGTCTGTAAGGAAGGGAGTATAAGTGGCCGGTAAGTGTATAAGTGGCCGGTAAGGAAGGGAGTATAAGTGGCGAGGAAGGGAGTATAAGTGGCCGGTAAGGAAGGGAGTATAAGTGGCCGGTAAGGAAGGGGGTATAAGTGCCCGGTAAGGAAGGGGGTATAAGTGCCCGGTAAGGAAGGGAGTATAAGTGCAGTATAAGTGGCCGGTAAGGAAGGGGGTATAAGTGCCCGGTAAGGAAGGGGGTATAAGTGCCCGGTAAGGAAGGGGGTAATAAGTGACCGGTAAGGAAGGGGGTATAAGTGCCCGGTAAGGAAGGGGTATAATTGCCCGGTAAGGAAGGGAGTATAAGTGCCCGGTAAGGAAGGGAGTATAAGTGCCCGGTAAGGAAGGGAGTATAAGTGCCCGGTAAGGAAGGAAGGGAGTATAAGTGCCCGGTAAGGAAGGAAGGGGGAGTATAAGTGCCGGTAAGGAAAGGGAGTATAAGTGCCCGGTAAGGAAGGGGAGTATAAGTGCCCGGTAAGGAAGGGAGTATAAGTGCCCGGTAAGGAAGGGAGTATAAGTGCCCGGTAAGGAAGGGGGTATAAGTGCCGGTAAGGAAGGAAGGGGGTATAAGTGCCCGGTAAGGAAGGGAAGGGAGGGTATAAGTGCCCGGTAAGGAAGGGGGTATAAGTGCCCGGTAAGGAAGGGGGTATAAGTGCCCGGTAAGGAAGGGGGTATAAGTGCCCGGTAAGGAAGGGGGTATAAGTGCCCGGTAAGGAAGGGAGTATAAGTGCCCGGTAAGGAAGGGGTATAAGTGCCCGGTAAGGAAGGGAGTATAAGTGCCCGGTAAGGAAGGGAGTATAAGTGCCCGGTAAGGAAGGGAGTATAAGTGGCCGGTAAGGAAGGGAGTATAAGTGCCCGGTAAGGAAGGGGGTATAAGTGCCGGTAAGGAAGGGAGTATAAGTGCCCGGTAAGGAAGGGGTATAAGTGGGTAAGGAAGGGTAGTATAAGTGCCCGGTAGGCAAGTGGTTAATAAATGGATTTTATGCTGTGAGGGATCTGATTTAACAATTGCATCAGTTTTAAACGCTCATACACTACAAAGAGCTATTGCAGCTTTGAGCAATCAAAACTGCCCAATATTCAGGCAGAAGGAGGACACTGAAAGCTGCTGCATGTGCGTGTATGCACCTCCCAGTGCCTGTAGTTTTTCCCTTTAACAAGGAAAAAAAAAATGCTGACAACTATAGAGCCAATTATTTTTTAATTACCCATCACATGATTGTTTTTCAAAGTAAAGACAGCTTTTCTTTATTTACTAAGCTCAGTGAACATTATCTACTGCTTTAGTAAATCAACTTCAATGACTACCTGGCTCCTGAGACATGGCCAGTCCCACGTTACACCCTTGCTGATATTTATATCTGGGCATGCTTTGAGCGACATCTGAATCATTTTATGATGAATCGGCATTGTAGACCTAGAAAGTTTTAGTCAGCTTTCCATCAAACTGTTATTAGCTGGGTGTATTTAGACATTTAAGATTGAAAGTCTGTAATATTTAAGGACAAGATTAAAAAAAAACTGTTGACTTAACATATTGCAGTTTTTCAATGACCAACCTTTTTATCACTCCTGTTTTTTTTTTATGAAGGATATTGGATGATATATATAATGATATTGCATACTCTGACAGTTGCTTTGGTTGCAAACCTAGCCATATGTAGATCTGAATATCTAGAAAAAATGAGCTTGTTACCTTTCATCTGACTATGAAGAATCCCATTTTTCTTTCTGATTGTCCTTGTTCATGCTCTCATCACTTCTCTACATGAGCTTTTTTTTTTTTTTTAGAGTGTAGTCATGTGTTTTGGGCTACATAGATTGCAATCAGGGGCGGACTGACCATTTGGAAACTCGGGCACTGCCCTAGGGCCCGGGGCCAGTAGGGGGCCCCATGAGATGCCCTTGGTACCTTTTTCATAGGCTTTTTTCAGTTTGGGCAAGGACACAGGGGCCCCATGATCCCCTATTGCCCGGGGGCCCCATGAGCTGTCAGTCCGCCCCTGATTGCAATGGGAATGCCTGTAACCAGCCCAGGAAACAAACTCCTGAAGCTTGAAACATGTGCAAAAATACCTGTAATACATCTGAAAAAATGCTTCAAAATCACCTGGAAAACTCTGTGCTCAGGTGTGAATGCAGGCTTAGGCTGGCCATACATTATACTGTTTTCTGGAGATTTTTGGTTTAGATTTACCAAAAACTATATAATAGGAGGTCAAACCTAACAACACTTTCATTGTATCCAATTAGGCAGGATCTTGCACTACATAGTTGAAGGTAAATCTAAAGGAAATTGGACAGAAAATTGTATAGTGTATGGCCAGCCTTTAGTCTTCATGCACACTGGACTTTTTTACAGTGGCTTTTTTACGGCGGCTGTTTTTGGCTTTTGACATTTTTTTTTACAGCCAGTATACTCCCCAGTATGTTATCCTATGTGTCCATGCACACAGACTGTAATAAAAGTTTTTTAACAGGAACTTTTTTTGGCTAGAAAAAAAAACCAGGACTAGTGGGTTTCTAGAGGAGTTTTTTAGCTGTAAAAACTCTCTAACGTGGTAAAACATGGTAAAACGCCGCAAACCAGCATTCTTGGAATTTTTTATACCCCCCACATTTTTTTGGGGGGTCAAAAAAAAAAATCGCAAACGCAGAAAAATGCCGAAAAACGCTGCTAAGCATTGCTAAACGCTAATGCAAAGATGCTAAAAAAAAAAGCTGAAAAACTCACATTTTTAACATGAGCGGTATTTACACAGCTAACTTTACCAGCGGTATCAAAATGCCAGGCATGCATGGAGCCTGAAGCTTGATACGATGTGCGAAAAAAAATGCCTGTAATACACCTGAAAAAATGCTTCAAAATCACCTGGAAAACGCTGTGCTCAGGTCGGTGATAATGCAGCCGCTTAAATGTCAAGGAACTCAAAGAAATGCACACTGGACTTTTTTACAGCTGCTTGTCATTTTGACTTTTGGCTGCTTTTTTTTCTACAGCCAGTAAACCCCCCAGCATGTTATCCTATGTGTCCATGCATACATAGGCTTTAATCAGTGATTTTTGGCAGGGGCTTCTTTTTTTGGCTCAAAAACCCCCCAGAACTCCCCCACTCTTCTTCTATGCAGCTGAGAACAGAGGGTATGGGATTTCACTTACAAAAAGGTATTTATACTTTTTTTTTGATATACGTTAAATCAAATATTTTGACTTTTTTTAGTTTGAACTGGTTGTTTTACAAGGTGAGGGTTTACATACATCTTAAAGTGATATTAAAGGCAAGTTTTTATTTTTTTTTTTAAATAAAACAAACAAAAATATAAAAACGGCCCATACTTACTTGCTCCATGCAGTTTTTGCCGAAAAATCAGCCGATTTTCGACCCATCTATGGCCTGCATTAGTCCTCATGCACCCGGGACTTTTTTACAGCCCTGATTTGCCTCTTCTCAGGTCCCCTACTGGTGCTCCTGGCCCACATCCTTAATCCAAATGCCCCTGAAAAAAAACCCAAACAGCTTGTAAAAACACTATACTGGTGGGGGCACCCAAGCAGGCTCACTACCGAGCCGCAAATTTTTATTATTTATTTTTATATGCTCTGCATTTTGTCCATACTTACCTTCATACACAGAGCCCTGAATCTCCTCCTCTCTTCTGCTCATTCCAAATGCCCTCACTGGCTATGATTGACCGCAGTGGGAGCTAATGGCTCCTGTGTCTGAGGCTCTCATGCAGGGATGACTCCCAATGTCGGGCTCAGGTAAGTATTTGTGGGTGGGGGCTGCTGCACACAGAAGGTTTTTTACATTCATGTATAGCATGCATGAAGGTAAAAAAAAACCTTTACAATCACTTTAAGTAAGTAAGGTAAGAAAACAGCAATATAAAATATACAAACTCTGGTTTGATTCTGTTTTTTCCTACTCTAGTGTGAGGAAGATGGCAGACCCTACTTCTCTATGGATGATGGACAAACCAAATTTGTGGACCTTATTCAGTTGGTCGAGTTTCACCAGATCAATCGGGGTATTCTCCCATGTACTCTCAAGCACTATTGCACTTGTGTAGCACTGTAACCAAGTCCTGAATGCCACACTGTGAAGCTGGAGCAGGACTCTTGAAGGAAACGCGTTCGACTTCAGATGGATGTTCCACCGACATGAATGATGTTCCACTATATCAGACTACTGAGTGAAAGCCAGCATGAGTCCAGTGCTGGTACTGGAGACAAAAACCTCACGAAATTGTTACTGTAAACTTCACCTTAGTGGATGCCGTTCTATCAGGAAGCACTCAAACAATAAGCTACGCCTTTTTTTTCTTTTCTTTTTGATGGTACAGACTTGTCTTGTGACAGCCAGATGACATTTGGTGGCTAAATTCCAATTGGAAGCAGAGCTTTCCATAATCTCCTAATGCCTGCTGAAAGATGGCAAGAGAAGGGCATCCGAGCTGTGTCCAAGCAAGGAATGTTAAATGGTACATCTGTTGCTGAGCGCATTGTATTGTAAATATCTACAAGGCCAGTTCACTGTCACGTATTTTATGCAAAAAAAAAAAAAATCCTAACAATATATTTTTGCCTTCTATTTCCTCTTATTTTTGTACAGACTGCTGTAACCTCAATCTACTTAATGAAGAGAGAAAAAATTATTTATATGTACCCAAAGGTGTCACATTAATAAAAAAAGAAATGTTCACTATCCAGGTATATGGGTGCTGTTTGGACCGGATGTTTATCTTAGGCATAGTTTTGAGAAAGAACACACCTAGGCTCTATACAGTCTACAGTCAAGGGATTTGTCCACCAATAACCATGTTAAAGGCCATCTGCAGCCAAAACTATTTTCCGTTTTCAAACAAGCTTCCATATTTTTTTGCTTTTCCGATGGAAAAGATTCCCCCCATTAATACCTGTCCTGGTGACAGGTACCACACAGGACATAATGTGAAACCCAATTCCCTCCAACACTAATTGAAGTTAGCAGAGGCTTTACCCATCCTTATTCTATCCAAAACTGGAGAACTTGAAAAAAATGTTGTGTGGAGTTGGGCATTTATTTAAAATGGAACCTTTTTTTTTACTTTTGATTGGTACAGCTAAGTGATCTCTAATGCTGGATATACTGTGTATTCACAAAATAAAAGGCATTCTGTGATTGTCAGGGCTGTGGATAAGGGGGTACCACCGGTCCTTCTATACAGGGCCTGGGCCAACAACTGGGCCCAGGCAGTAGGGTGAATCGGATGTGGGCAGGGAAGGCGATTGGTGCAATGAGGGGCAATTACTGAAACCAATCCCCTGTATGGCTCTTTCTGCAGCAGCTGAAAGCTGGCTTCTTCAACTCTCCCTCCCGCCGGCTTTTCAGCTGCTGCAGAGAGATCGGTTTCAGTAACTGCCCCCCATCACGCCAATCACACCATACGTTTCCCCCTGCTGCCCAGACCCCCTGTGTGCCCCCCAACTCACGCAGTGCTGCTAGCTTCTCTCCTCTCCTTCTAGCCAGCAGCTGCAAGCACACAATAGGATCCTGCAAGATGGAGAGTGATACATATTTACCAGCCCCTTCCTTTCCTGAATGAATACAAACAGTGATCAGTACCGATCACTCACTGTGTTCATTTATAACCAAAGCATAGTAAACTGTGTTTATTTGTGGGGGGGGGGCTGCCAGGTTGGCTATATGATGCCACATGGTTTCTAACAGAAACCCTGGTGATTTTACAAGGAAAGAGGAGAGGAGGATGAACGTCTGGACCTCATTTTCTTTAATCACAGTACACCTTGTAGTCCGTGAATTGAATACAAAACATTTTATAAAAGGACATGGGGGTAGGAAGGAGCAGAGTAAATGACACTATCCTTCAGTGTGCACTAGCCAGAAGATTATATCTGACAGTAATATCTGGCTTGAATACAACTAAGATTAAAGGTAACTTAGCTGGACCAATCAAAAGTAGGAAAAAATGTTTTTGTTTAACTAAAGTTGAGTTCCACTTTAACCCCTTCACACCTAAGGGTAAAACAAATCTAAATGCCTAAGCACAATTCTGCAACATTGCCATGTGTTAGTAAAACTGTACATATCATCACAACTACACAACTACTTTGTACATCCAGGTGGATTATACCTTAATTTTTTCAGGACAAATTGGGCTTTCATTTGGTGGTAAATGGTAATGGGTAGCTCCTTATTTTTTTTTTATTACCAAAGGAAAATTGGCCCAAAATAGAAAAGAAATAATTTTTTTTATTTAGCTGCGTGTTTCTTGTTACTGCCATAACCTACCACCAAAGAACAACCCAAAATAAATTCTCCAGCTCTTGACGATCGCAGCGATACCATATATGTGTATGTTATTTGTTGTTTTGTATCCGTAGTACAGCCAGGAAACAATAGTGCGCATTTTGTTTGTCTTTTTTTTTTTACCTAAAACACACTGACATTGACACTAACTGACACTGATACCAATCTTTTTTAATCCTGACCTTTGACTCTGACCTTTGAATTTGACCCTGACCTTGACCCAAACACTAACCCTGGCACTGAACTAGATCAAACCTTTATCAAGGTATTTTTCTTTATTTTTTTTTAATATTTATTTATTTATCTTCTTTTTTTTTTTTTTTTTAACAAACATTTTTTTTTCTCTCTATGCCAGGAGTTGGAGAGATACAACGTATCTCTCTTCTCCATTCATAGAGAGAGAAAAAAGCAAGGGGGCCGGGCTGTACAGTGACTGATCACTGTGATAGCCAATCAGAGGCTGTCACAGTGATCATGTGACCCGAAATCGGGAGTCCCGGGTCCCGATCATTAGAACGGGACCCTGGGCTTTCATTGACACCGCGGTCTCTGTGCTGGGAGCGCGCCAAGTGGCGCGCTCCCAGCACACAGACAGGTACGCAAATATGCGGCCCCACGGAAAAAAGCCCAGTTCCGTGAGGCCGCATATTTGTGTGATGTCGGCGGGAAGGGGTTAAGCAGTTAAAAGGAATTTTTAGGCAGAACTTTTTACTTTCCTGTTAGAGAGGGGCATAGGATTCAGTCTGATACAACTGGGTTATACTGCTGCCTGTAGGAAGGAATGGACACTGCCAAACAAAAAAGTTGTTGAGCAACCTGGTATGACCCCTCGCACTCCTTTTTAATGTTTCAGTTCTTGCAAGATCTTGAGCCATGGCATGGCCTCTGATGTTATCCAGTCTCTGAAGACTCAAGTTGTATGGGCTGAGATATTTAACCACTTCCCGACCAGCCATTGCATATAAACGGCCGGACGGTGGCACTGCAGGGTCGGGTGGCCGTTTATAAACGGCCTCCCCGCACCCTGCTTGTGCGCGCTCCCTGGGAGCGCGCAGCACCGCGATCCAGTGCCCGCTGTGTCCTCCGGACACAGTGAAACACCGATCGTTGGACGGGACCTCTGTACGAGGTCCCGATCATGTGATCACTGATTGGCCAATCAGTGATCACATGCAAAGTAGTAAGCAAGATGTCACTTGTGACATCATTGCTTACTACGTGTGAAATCTGTGAATGATCACAGAGGTCACATGGTACAAGGCTATTCACAACAGCCTTGTACCATGTGACAAGCTGAGACCAATCACAGCTCACTCAGTACTTCTCAATGAGTGCAAGAATGCAGACAGAGAGAAAGAAATGATTGCTTTTCCATCCTATATGGGTGTAAAAGCAATCAGTGTAAAAAAAATCTTCATCACCCCACAAGTAGTACAGTGTCACCATGGTGACACTGTACTGCTAGGGTGACAGTATGTAAAAACAAAAATAAAAAATAATATAAAAAAATAAAATAAAAATGTAAAAAAAAAATGTTTAAAAATGGTTATAAACTAATTTGGATTTTTTTTTTACTAAAAGGATAATGGAATAAATTTTGGTCAAGATTTATGATGAAATATTATTTATTTGCAAAATTGTATAAAAAAAACACCTTTTTTCACAATTTTTTAAGATTTTCATTTACATAGCAAAAAAAAATAAAAATCCCAGCGGTGAATAAATACCACCAAAATAAAGCTTTATCTGTCTCAAAAAAATGGTTAAAAAAATAAATTTGGGTACAGTGTTGAATGACCGCGCAATTGTCATTCAAATGTGATAGCGCTGAAAGCTGAAAATTGCCCTGGTCAGGAAGGGGGTAAAAGTGTCCGGTCTGGAAGTGGTTAATATATTGAAAATGTTGGGTGCCATTACTACACCTGTTTCGGTTGGTCTCCACATAAGGGTATTATGCTGAATAATGTGTTGCATTACCGGCTGGAGTGTTCTCCATGCTCTGTTCCCACCTTTTCAGCATTAGGTAGCTGCTTTCCACCATTGCTTCTACTGCATGAGACATGTTGTTTCACCTTGGTTAGTCCCTGCTGCTCCCTACAGTGATCCGGTGACCTCTCAACATTTGAACCTCTCCTGCTCTCAGCAGCTGGTTTGTGAGTACTCTTGGTTTTACTTGGTGTTCCCAATTAAGTTGCATCTGCTAAGCCAAGTGCAAGTGGAGTACATTCTACCAGGTAAATTGTACAAGGCGAATTTCAGGCCTTATCTGATGTCAGTTGCGTGCATAAAATCCTTCAGCCACTTTGAAGTGCAGGCAGCGCTCTGTTTTATTATTATTATTGTCATGTAGGTTTGTTAGCATTTGACATGCCCACCCTTCAGTTGGACTGCGTTTGGACATCTCAATTGTATCAGACTAAGGCTGGCTACACATTATACAATTTCATTGTACAATTTTCCTTTAGATTTACCAAAACCACATAATATGAGGTCAGACCTAAACCATATAAATATGAGGTCAGACCTAAACCATATAAATATGAGGTCAGACCTAAACCATATAAATATGAGGTCAGACCTAAACCATATAAATATTAGGTCAGGCCTAAACCATAAAAGTATGAGGTCAGGCCTAAACACTTTCAATTAATATGCAATCAGGCAGGCTATTGCACTGCATAGTTAAAGGTAAATCTAAATGAAACGGAGCAAGATAATTGAATAATGTATGGCCAGCTTAACTGAATCATGTGACCCTTAATGAATGA